ACAGAATGGACAGTTGTAACCCATGTTTAAATCTGGCATAAATAAGTTTGAAAGATTAAGTCTGTTGAAAAAAAAAAAAAAAAAAAAGTCGCTGCCCCTTTAAGGGACCGGCGACACAGACGCAGCTCCTCAGTGACGTTGCAGCACACAGAGCTGAGGGAGAGAAACCAGAGGAAACGACCGTTGATTAATTAGCAGGAAAAGCAGTGGAAGTTACAGTTGAATTGTAGTTGAAAAACATAACTTACCTGGTCAGGAACTGACAGAGATTTTATTGGGAGCTAACCACATCGGTTTTGGTCAGGTTTTTTTGCTTGGTTGGAAGCTCGATCGGAGGGAGGATTGGTCTGCCTGTGCGGGCGTGCACATCCACAGACGGGATTCATGATGGCGAGCCAGATCCAGATCTTCAACTCGTCTTCCCCATCGCACCAGTGAAGGATTCTCCTGCGTGTGGTAACTCGCTACCAGAGCGGTAGAAGTATCGGGAACCAGTTGAACTGAACTGAACAGAACTGATTGGATTATTATTATTATTATTTTGTTTGGAATGAACTGAACCGAATTGAAACTTGAACTCACAATTGAACTTGAACTTGAATTTGAGGTGCCATACTTTTATTTTCATATGTTTCTATTTTTGAATGTGATTTGAATAATTGTGGTCCACTTTAGTTTTTTTATTTGTTACTTACCTTTCTATTGAGAACCTGCAGGGTATTTTTGTTTCATGTACTGTGTTTTATATCTGTATTTTTTTTTGTTCAGTAAATTGCCAGCCTTTTCTATTTAAGCAACGGTCTCTGGTGTCCTTGTTTTGCTCCCCACTCCTTAGAGCCTAGAACTGGTCCAGTGGCGCAGTTAGTGGTGTGACACCGGTGCTACAAACTTGGAAACCTGACCTGTGTAACAGGCCATAACACAATAAAACTCTCTTTAAATTCTTAAATCACAAAATAAATGTTTCACAGTTTCTGAGTTGTAACGGTACTGTTACGGTGTTTTTTCAACAGAAACTGGCGACTCACCAAAACCGATGTGGTTAGCTCCCAATAAAATGTCTGTCAGTTCCTGACCAGGTAAGTTATGTTTTTCAACTACAATTCAACTGTAACTTCCACTGCTTTTCCTGCTAATTAATCAACGGTCGTTTCCTCCGGTTTCTCTCCCTCAGCTCTGTGTGCTGCAACGTCACTGAGGAGCTGTGTCTGTGTCGCCGGTCCCTTAAAGGGGCAGCGACTTTATTTTATAATTTTTTTTCAACAGACTTTTAATCTTTCAAACTTATTTATGCCAGATTTTAACATGGGTTACATCGTACATCTGCAAAAAGGAAAAAAGACAGGGTTCAGGCTGTGATAAGAGGGCGTTTTTATGTACTATTAAAACAGGTGTTTTACGTCAATCTCTAATCATCTTTTCTTATTAAGCACGCTAATCTCCATGCAAATGTGCAGCCTTGTAACATCTGGTGTAAAATACAATAAAATAAACGTCACATTATGTGCAACGTTGTACAGTGATATCAATCAATCAGTCAAACTGTATTTATATAGGACTTTTCATACAAAGAATGCAGCGTGCTTCCCAAGATAAAAACATACAACAGAAATCCATCCATCCATCCATCCATCCATTATCTATACACCGCTTAATCCTCACTAGGGTCGCGGGGGCCTGGAGCCTATCCCAGGCGACTCAGGGCGAAGGCAGGGGACACCCTGGACAGGTTGCCAGTCTACCACAGGGCTAAAACAGAAATACAACATATATTGTTCTAGCTCTTGGAACGATTAAAAGGCCGATGCCAGAGGACCTCAGGATCCGCGAGGGTTGATATGATAAAAGCAGGTCAGATAAGTAAGATGGCACGAGACCGTTAAGACACTTAAAAACTAATAAAAGTACCTTAAAGTCAATCCTGAAACACATGGGAGCCAGTGCAACAATTTTACACTGGTGTAATGTGCTCCCACCCTTTGGTCCTCGTAAGCACACGTACGGCTGAGTTCGGAAGCAATTGTAGGTTCGAGATAGTCTTTTTCAAAGACCAGAGAGCAGGGCACTATGCTCAGAGTCAAAAATGACCCCCAGGTTCCTCACACACTGAGAAGGTTTGAAATCTTGTAGTTTTGGTAAAAGTACAAACATATATAAATATAATCAATAAAAGTCACATTACCATTCCTGCTGAATGTTGAAAAACCGTCATCATTCTGTCAGCTGTTCTGTCTCTCTCTCCATCCCGTGTGTCTCTCCATTGAGCTGTTACGCTGAGAGTGCCCCCTGCAGGTTTGGAGTCAGTTATTCCGTGTTTTTCGTTTGAAGATCGTTTCTTGTTTTGAATCGTTTTGTGCTTTGCGTCATTTCACTATTATCAGCGCGTTTGATGATGATGCATTTTTCTTCGTTTTTTTCAGCATGTTATTTTCATTAGCACCACGTTCCTCTTTTTGTACCTCGTTTAGACTTGTGTTTGAGTTTGTGAATTTGCATCGTTTCTGTATTTGAAGCTGTTTTCTCTAACTGAGACGCACTGGGCCATTGCAGTGCGTTTGGCCCTTGTCGGCCACCGTAAATTCTCTGCTAAGGATGCCATTACTCCACTATTTCTATACTTACCTAAATAGTTGTTTGCTGTCATATTACTGCATATTTCTGTTCAAAATCTCATCAGGAATCTTTAAAGTCCCTCTTTGCTCATTGATACAGACACTGTTGCTACCTCCAGTCCCTGCCCTCCAGTCTGATTCTGAAGAAGAAAAATAATGATACAGAAAGTTTCAGTGGGCAAGCTGACAGAATGTTTTAGGTGTACTGAAACCCCAGATGTTTAAATGTGTTTTTGAGATTGTCATCAGCAAACTTCCCTTTAAGGTGGAAATACTCAGCTGTGGTGTTGACAGTTTGTTTCATTCATGATGTGCCTTCTAGAGTATAAAAAGACACCATAGGAACATGTGAACAAGGTAAAAAGCTTGATTTTCACTGGAGGTTGCCTTCAAGTTGTGAGCATGCTGACAACCAAACTAAGCATGGCCTTGTTGTTTTTTTGTTTTTTTTGAAAACGGTGAATGACATCCCGAAGTTGTAAACTCACAGCGTCAAATCTACCATTTAAAGTTTTGATTTCATTAATTTTCTGTTGTGTCACATCATGTCATCATGTTGAAAACAGAGACAACAGAAAGCAGTTGTGGATTTGTTACCCGCGTCTGTTCTCTTCCATATAAAAACTACTAAAAGTGTCATCAGAAGAACTTTGACATGAAAGACAGTTATACTTGCGTTTTCTGTTTAATGAAAAACATGGTTCCATACTGGCGGAGCATCAAAACAGAGACGGTGAGTTAATCTCATCCGGCAAATGGAAACTGAGCTATGATGATAAAGCAATGACCTACAGAAACATGGAACTTGGGGATTTGGTGGTGATGAACCTACTATACCTGAAGAAAAACTCAAGTTTCATTTTTTTGTAATAAGGGTTTTTAAGTTGTAACTAATGGTACTGAATCTGATTTTTAATCATTTATTATTGTTTGATAGATCACTAATAAGGTATTTTTTAAAAACATTGTTGCCAGGTTGTGGAAAATCCCTATGACTGGTTTGCATCTTACAACATGATGCTTGTGTTTGTAGCTCCTTCATAAAGAGTTGTCCATGAACAACTTGACATTTACAGCTATAGATTCCATGGTTTATTATACAAAACCACGATAAATGAGGTACTAATATTGATAACTGCAAACACAGCCAGTAAAAGAGATTTTTCGATACCTAGAAAAATGTAGGATACTTAATTTCTGATGTAAACAAATTATCATTCACTACTTTAACCATTAGTTACTACTTATAAATGCTTTACAGAGGATTATCAGAAAGTGGTATTATAAACTCCTCCTCTGCCTCTGCTAAGAAACAGTACAACTGCCAGAAACTGCAAGCAAGCTTTGAACAACAGCAATGTTCAAAGATGATGAGCAACATGAGTGTTAAATAAAGATTTCTATACAACATACAACATAAAAAATTGTTAAATATAGAACGTTAGACTTGAAAATATATGTTACGTAATCTTCAGCATAAATGGCAGCTTGATGCGAACTGATTTGCTTGTTTCATTAAAACCTGCCATGCTGACTGCATGTTGTCTAAATGTGACACTGAAAAATGTCAAATCTGATGTAATGCATGATGCAGTTTGGTAGACATGAGCCAAGAGTCTCTTTCTTTTTTTTTTTTTTTTGCAGGTTTGATGATAAAAGTGGAAACTGTGCACACTGATACCACATTTTTAAAAGTGGGATGTAGTGTTAGTAGAGGTGCTGTACTGCAGCATTAGAAGAATCCTCAGAATCCCAAAAAAAACATCTGATGATACTTTGTCTTAATTGAATTAATTTGGTTCATATTGTGGCTCATTCATTAGCTGACCAGTAAACGCATAACTTTATAAATATAACAGATAGTTTTCATGTTTAAAACAAATGACGTCAAATGGATCCATAGAATTTAAAACTGAGTTTTATGATGATTGTTATTGTCTGAGATTCATTCAGTGCCTGTGATTGATGTGTGTTTAGCTACAAACAGTTAAGTTACATAAACTTCTGTAAAAGTTCACCTATTACTGCATTAGATGGTATTCCTGCCCAAATTGATAGACAAATTTTAATATTTAAAATATGTTATCAAGTGGCTACTGAAAGTGCGCAAATATTTTTTTATTTTTTGTTTTTTTGTTTTTTTTATCATAAAAATGCCTGATATGATTTTCTTTTTCTTTTTTAACATCACCAGACTGATGTTGAGCTTACACCCAGCTGGACTGTCCCAACAGAAACATCAAAAGCATCATCTCTCCCCATTCAGATACATGTTTCATCATTAACTCATATGCAATTTTTGTTTGTTCTGTTAATTCACTTAATGTATAATATCACAATGTGTTCATTTCTTTACAAGGATACTAGCATCGTGTGTGTGTGTGTGTGTGTGTGTGTGTGTCTGTTTAGAGGGGTTCTGACAGTCTTTCCCCTCTAAAAACATATTATCGTCAGCTCTGTTCATCTTTGGTCTGTAAAAATTAAACAGAGTTTTGTGCACCATAATCCTCTTTTTAAATCTCCTGGAAAATAAGCAGTCACTTTCCTCCCACGAAGAAGAACTTCAGGCAGCAGTTTCCACAGTTCACCCAAACATAAAGCAGGGGCTGCCAATGCCTCGCCTGCAGCCCCGATGGCGGCTGATGATTGGTCTTCAGCAGCTGCAGCAGCAGCAGCAGATGGTCTGCCTGGCGATGATGGGCGATGGGCGATGGGAACCAGTCTTTCTCTGGTGAGCGTCTGTCTTCGCCGCCACTGTCAGGAGACCTAAAGGACAGAAATAAGAAACATTACAAGAGCATCCTTCACAACCAATCAGGGCATCTGCTGGTCTGAGTAGAGTGACAGCGATCATAAAAGGCGTTGAGCTACAGACATTTCAGAAAGTATTTATAAAGACCACTTCACTTGCATACTTCATGATAATGTAGTTTTAATATAAAATTTATTAAAATGACAATTTTGTCCATTGCTTAACATCCTGTAAAAAAAAAATAAAATCTTGCCCCAAAATATTCAGACTATATAATAATCAGACAGATTCCCACTTGTGATGTTGAAAGTTCGTAGTTTTTAAAAAATATTTCATAAAAATAAAGATGGCTTGTTATACAAGTAAGCTGAAGTGGTTTTCTCATTTTGCCCACTGATTGTGGACATTTGAACTGGTCCGCTGGTAGGCTATGATGAACAGTAGGCCTTCATAGCATGGTAATTCCCTAACATTGGGGATGGTAATATGTGCATATATCACTATATACAAAAAGCCATATTGAAAATGAAAAATATGTGCATTTTTGATATTGGCCATAAGTCAATATTGAGCATCTCTAATTTGTGGTGGTCAGGTGCATCCTTTTTGCTTTGATAGTCCTTGAGATGTGTCTGTAAGTTGACTGGAATCCCTCCATCCATTACCTATACACCACTTTATCCTCATTAGGGTCGTGGGAAAATACAACATTCACACTTGTAACATTAACTCATGTGACTGCAAGCTGCTGAAAATCTGGTGAAGGCAGGAGACACCCTGGACAGGTCACCAGTCTATCACAGGGTTACACTTGGAGACAGACAACCAAACACACTCACATTCACACCTACGGACAATTTAGAATCACCAATTAACCTCAACATGTGTTTGGACTGTGGGAGGAAGCCGGAGAACCTGGGGCCTCATGTACAAAGGGTACATACGCACAAAAACTTGGCGTACGCACTTTTCCATGCTCACGTTCAGATATATCAAGAGTGAAATGAACGTGGAATTGTGTGGTCCTCCATGTCAACTTCTTGATTGGTGTACACATGTTTCTATTGCTTTCGAGCCATTGGCGATACTTAGAGGTGATGCTGGGAATGCAAAATTGTAAAAAACAATGTAAAAAAAAAAGATCTTTCCTCAAAGTGATATGCACATCAGAGATACACAGATGAACAATTAACACACCCAGGTGTTTACAATCAGTTAGTGGATATTAAAGTATGCGTAAAATGGTGCAGAAGATACCATTAACAACAATGGAAGCTTTGGCACTGTTGGAGGATGTTGCCAATGGAGCAGTGCCAAGAGAGCGGGTTTCCAGAGACCTCAGGATGACGACTGGCTCATCAGCCACATTAGGTTCCTGAGGGCAATCCTCTTAGAACTGTGCGCGAAGCTGCGGCCGCTATTGGAGCACAACACGGCCAGGAGCCATGTCCTACCTGTGCCCATACAGGTGCTGACCACACTGGGCTTCCTAGCCACAGGGTCATTTCAGAGGGACCTGGCTGACCGATCGGGACTGTGCCAGTCGACAGTGTGTGGGATGGAACTATCCAAATGTCAGCCAGATATATCAAATTCCCGTACACTGCAGTTGAACAGGACGACATAAAAGTGCAATTTGCAGCAAAGGCCCGGTTTTCCTAATGTAATTTATCTATCTAAGCTATCGACTGCACACACATTGCTATAAAGGCACCATCACAACATGAATTTGTTTATATAAACAAGATGCATTTTCATTCCATCAGTGTACAGATCATCTATGATTCGCAAATGCAATTAAGCAACATTGTTGCGAGGTGGCCTGAATCAATATACGACTTATTTATTCTGACCAACAGCATGGTTGGGAACAGGCTACAAGCTGGCACAGTGCGGGATGGGTGGCTTCTTGGTGAGTAAATCATTTAATTGTCCTAACATTCATCTCCCCGATATGCGCCAAGCATGTGTGCCCCGGATGGGCATCGGCAGCTGGCTGTTGCAGCAGACCGGAGGATTGGCAGACGCCGGGGAGGCTGGAGGAATCCCCTGGGTCTCTGACATGAGGCTGGAACTGCGTCTCACAGTCTTCTCCTGCCTCATTGTCTGTTGGAAAATAATAAATTCAGTAATTTGACATGAGACAAAGTCTTTGATTTCCTCTTTGATATCCTGGCATGATTACGCATGAACCTGTATCTTGTTTGGCTGTGAGCAGATGATTGTATGACCTGTATAAAAAATAAATTTGTGAGTTACACAATAAATATTAACCTTGGGGGTGATCTGAGTGACCCACGTGTGCTCCCACCACCCCTGTGACAGCAGTGTCACCCACAATAGCGATGACTCTCTGCTCAAATATGGCGAGTTCATCCTTGTTACTGTTATCTGACCATGCAGAGAGGGGAATCCCATCTCTCGGCCCTGTTCATACCAATTTGCATATTTACGTTGGGGGCGTGGAGAGGGAGGAGTCTGGTACTCCAACATGTGCGGTCAATTCCACGCTGAGTGAGATGTACAAAGGAAATGTACTTGGATTCAGGCGTACGCTCACTGTCGTTCATCTGGATTTTTTTGTGCGTAAGCAGTTCTCTGGATTGAAGCATATGCCAGGTTTCCGTATGAAGTCCACACAAGTCTTTGTACATGAGGCCCCAGGTGAGAATCCACGCTGCACGGGGAGAACATGCAAACTCCACACAAAAAGACTCCAGGCCAAGATTTGAACCCAGGATCTTCTAGCTGTGAGGCGACAGCGCTGATCACTGCATCACCATGCTGCCCTTGACTGGAGTCCACTTGTGGTAAGCTACAGTAACTAGACAGAGTTGAGAAAGGACCACATCCTTTTACTTGAAGTGTCACAATTCACACTGAATATCAGGAGAAAAACCAAACCATTGTAGGGTTTTAGTGTGGTAGAAAATAAGATGTACTTATTTCCACACACTAAAGCAAGTGATTGCATTAATTACAATTATTAAAACTAACTTTTGAATTATT